TAGACTTGTGTATGTTCAGGTTCCTCAGGTGGTCACGATCTTTAATGTCACAAACTCATTGTTGCTATTATTTTTAAATGATAAAAACTCTATAGCACAGAGGGAGAGACAAGGTTTGTGTGTCTGATTCTTGGAGTGTAAATCAAGCAGCTCATGAGCTAAATTACTAGTTGGACTATTTATTTGTTTTCTATTTAGACTTGCCATCAAAGAAAGCACATCTCTAAATTGTGACAAAACTCCTATGGTATTCAGTAGACATCTTGTTATTTGCTTCTAAATGGAGTAAGAAGGACCTTTTATCTCTGCTTTGATTGGTGTTAACAGGACAATGGATATTTTATCTTTGGAACAGTCACTTTTTCCAAACATGGGAAGCTAAGGTCCTCATTAGGACTAGCACAGAAATAACAGGATGAAACATCAATCTGAAAAAACTTGGGATTTCTGAAAATTCATTGTGTAAGTATCCCTAAAGCTTTACACACAATGTTTTTGCCATTAGTGTTAATGGAATTTACAGAAGAAAATGCATGGCTTGAAAGAATATATGGGCCAACGAACTCGCCTCAGTGCAATAGATTTCCCTGCTTCTTCATGAATTACTCGAATATAAAGGCTATCCTTGGCACACTGCTACAGTAGAACCCCTGGTCACCTGTCCAGAACATTTATGCTCTGAGTAATATTAACATACAGATTTTTAGAAGAATCTCACAAAATCACAGAACAGTTGAGGTTAGAAGGGACTGCTGGCAGACATCTGATCCAACCCCCCTGCTCAAGCAGGTTGCCCAGGACCATGTCCAGATGACTTTTGAATATCTCCAAGAAGGGAGACTTCACAACTCCCTGGGCAACCTGTGCTAGTGCTTGATCACCCTCACACTGAAAAAGTGCTTCCTGATGTTCAGAGAGAACGTCCTGTCTTTCAGTTCATGCCCATTGCCTCTGGTCCCCTCTCTTCAGGTGTTTATACACATTGATGAGATCCTCCTGAGCCTTCTCTTCTTCAAGCTGGAGAATCTCAGTTCTCTCAGCCTTTCCTCATGGGAGAGATGCCCCAGTCACTTCATAATCCCCCCTAATCACCTCCTACAAGCCAGATGATCCAGTTTTCCACATTTTCTACACAGTGCTGCCTCTTAATATATGAATCTCGTGGCCTTCATTCCATCTGCAAAATCTGCTTCACTTCTTTCTGGTTTAAGTCTCTCTGCTTATCTCTGTACCAGGTAACAAGCATAAAAACAGAATGAAACTGATACATGCATATATTACTTAAAATACATTTTATAAATAGCAACTAGAATTGTATTAAAAAAACATAAAAATCTATCAATAAAAATCTCTCAACAAGACCTTCCTGTACCAATGTCTATGAAGATAATTATCTCGAGATATTTTCTATATAATATTCAATTGATTCTAATTATCACAGAATTACATGCTTGTGCTTAGATCTATTAGGTATGACACAGCCACAGTGGAGAGGAATTTATCCTCAACATTTATGCTTAAAATGCAGAAGAAAGCCAAGTTCCAGTACTCAAGGTTTCTTGAGTGCTAAAAATGCAAACAGTGACCTTGTGAGATTTTCAGAAATGTCAAACAGCATTTCATGTATCTCATTGCTGTGGACAATTTATCCTCCATCAAACATCACATTGTATATCACCAGCAATCTCACTTTAGGTTTATTGGAACTCACTTGTTTGTTTTTGTTGTGTTTTTTTTACTGGTAGACTAACATTCCCTGCTTCAGAATATTTTTCGTTTTAAAATTTTTTCTTAACAACATAAAACAGTCAGTGAACCAAAAGAACTTGAGGCTATACACTCATATTTGCTTGTACCCCATTAGAAAATATAGCAGCAAGACTTTCACTACGTGCCTCTTAACCCCTATATGACAAGAGAAACAATAGACTTTTTAAAGCGACGGTTTTGTGCAGGAAATTAAGACGGTAGTAGAACCTGTACTTTGCTCTCCAAAGGCACCCACTCCTGCCACCTACAGACGAAACAGATCCACAGCTCCTACCTAATATTAGAAAATGTATTATTTTTCTACAGACAGTAACAGTAGTAATAAGTATTCCACGGGGAACAAGCCTACAGTTCCTCACACAATTCTTAATTTAGAGAAGAAAAACAACTTGTGATGTTAAAAATAATTCGCACCTTGCTATTTCTGAGTTATCAATGACCATGTTAAAACTTCAGGTAAATAATTTCAGAAATCTTCTCTAAACTTCCAGAATTTTCATAGAAACAGGAAATCACTGAAATACACAACTCTCCTTGCTTAGGTAGTACCTTCCTCTAATGACACAGTAACTAAACTTTACTTAAGGACTGAAATGGGTCAAATCTACTACCAAATAAATATACACACGTGCTACAAAATCAGCATAATAGAGTACCTCATGCTTAGATAAGATTGGGTTTAGCCACAGTTTCTTGTAAAAGAGTATACAGGAAAAGAGTATACAGGAAGAGACTGGAATATTGTGTATAGGAGTGTCTTGCTTACTTTAGCAGTGTACCTGCACACAAAAAGTCTCCTTTCCTTTGACATGAAAAATCCTTTCTGTTGTCTGTAGTTCATGCTTTGGTGAGCCTGAAAATAATAATGAAAAAAAAAAAAGGTCATGGATTTATATCTCAAATAAGTTAAGTTTTGATTTATCAGACAAATCAAAGAAATTTGCTTGAATGCCAAAACATAGGGATGACCAATGTCTGCACTGTGGCACAGTTGTGGTCTGTGGTTTTGTGATTCCTGGCAAGTAACAGCTGCAATTGAAGCCCATGCCCAGAAGCAGGGGGTTTTTTAACTGCTGAACAACACAGGCCTGCACAACATACTGCCGGCGAGCCTCTTGTGCACCACCAAGCAAACTGTTTGGCTGCGTGGGTGACTGCAAGGTGACGTATACTGTTCATGTAGCCAAAGGGTTAGCTAGCACTTTAAGTGTACCAACTATAGCTAAATTAGCACTGAGGACACAGCCTAGAGGCAAACATGCTTTTGGTCAACAGGCAGTGAGAATACAGAGCTGCTATCTGACTAGGCAGCTGAAAGGCACTATTTTTTCCCTCGTCTTGGCGACCTTTGTTGGTATTTTGAAGCTTTCAGTAGCTCATCTCTCAGCATGTCTTGCATTATTTGACCCCATTAACATGTAAACAAACCAAAATATTTAAACACTGAAGTTTTATGATGTTACAATGTTCTGCTGAAGCCAGGAAGTTTTGTTTTTCAGTTCCATGCTATATTCTTAGTTGTTTGTACTAACAAGTCTTTTGGAACTGCCTCTCAAGATTATGTTCATGGATTTGTGCCCCTTTAGAAGACAGTGGGAAACTTTTCTATTTATCCATGAAAATCCTAGAGATGGCCCCAGATCAGATATAAGGGTTGCAAGTCTATATTCATATAATGAAAAAACATTTAAAAATATGCTACCACCAAACACCTTTTGTGCTTTGTATTGCTATGATCACCTTATGAATGTATTTGGTACAGGTAATACATAGGGTCTTATACGGGTATGAAAAAATCAGATACTATTTGAAATTTTAACACTGGTAAAATTGTCCACAAAAATATTACCTACTGTAGCTTCAGGTTAAATTACCTTTATTCTTCATTTACAAGTACTTTAAGGAGAGAGCAAGCCTGATCTAATTTCTCTAACAACGCCAGCTGTAAGGCAACTAATCGGGGTTTCAGAGGAGACGCTGTAAAAGCAAACAGGTGGTTTTCAGCACCTTGCAAGCTCTAGAGTCAACGCTGTTTGCAAACACAGTACTACCACTTGGATGACAGTGACAACATCTCAGAGAATCAGTGGGTGGTTGATGTTGGAAGAGGCCACTGGAGGTCAGATGAATTAGAGGTTAACTCCTCTGCTCAAGCAAGGCCACCTAGAGCTGGTTGCCTAGGACCGTGTCCAGATGGCTTCTAGTATCTCCGAGGAAGGAGGCTTCACAACCTCCCTGGGCAACCTGTGCCAATGCTCTGTCACCCTCACCCTGAAAAAGCGTTTCCAATTGTTCAGAGGGAACCTCTCGTGTTTCAGTTTGTGCCCATTGCCTCTTGTCCTGCCACACTAGGCACCACTGAAAAGAGATTGGCTGTTTGTGCCTTCCCTTCAGGTATTTATGTACATGAGCTCCATCTGAGCCTTCTCTTTCCCAGGCTGGACAGTCCCAGCTCTCTCAGCCTCTCCTTGTAGCTCCAGTCCCTTTGTCATTTTCACCAGACACTCTCCAATAGCTCTGTAATTTTCTTTAAAATGCTGAACCCTAGATAGCTCCTATATGTCTACAAGAAAGCTGGTGAGGGGCTTTTTAGGATGTTGGGTAATGATAGGACTAGAGGGAATGGATTAAAGCTGGAGATGGATTGGTTCAGATTGGACGTTAGAAGAAGTTCTTCCCCGTGAGGGTGGTGAGACACTGGCACAGGTTGCCCAGAAAGGGGGGGGGAG